AGAGACGCTCTGGGTTAAAGAAGACAGAACCCCCTTCATTTTAACGTAGATATTGTAGAAGCAAAGCATAGTGGGAGTAAGAGGTTACGGTGTGACATCATCAACTCTTGTTACATATTCTGTGAATTATTTGACATTTAACCGTTTGTGTAAAAAAACACATAAATTAAATTAAAACACTAGTTCAGTCATGTAAAGTTTGACTTTCTGAGACTCGTTTGAAACTTTGAATTAAGTTTTTACTGTGAAGTATGTCTGAGATCCAAAGACGGCGGGTTTTCTTGCCAATGTTCTCTTGGTCTTCCTTTTTTTCTTGCAGTTTGAGAGTTTTGTCTTTGTTATACATTATACCACTACTAAAAGTCAAGCTGCATGTTTTTGTGTATAATTTGCTCGATTTAAAACTTTAACAGATTATTCATAAGTTGAGCCCGACTTATATAGAAATTTTGGCTATCACCGATACCGATATTGGGAGGGAAAGGCGACTGCCGATAATCGATATAATGACTGAAAATTTCTGAGCTTTGTCCACCCCCAAGAATCTAAGTAAACAGCGAGTGGAGCGAGGCTTGTTTATTTAGCGCAGCTGTTAGCAACCATGAAGCTAAGCTAATCAGATTCAGGCTATATGTCGTCACACTCTGTTTACAATCATAAAAACAATCTTCCTAATGTGTGTTAACATTTTCTATCCTCCACTATTCAGTTATCAAGTGTTACAAAAATATAAATTAAACAAAGAAACGTCTTCACTGTTCATTGTTTAAACAGTCAGTCACGTATGGTGAAGGTTTAATTAGTACTGACTGCAGTGTTTTTTTTCTTTGCAGAGAAGTTAAAAGATTTCAGACAAACAATGCATTTAATTGAGGACAATAAAGATAACGTTACTAACTCTGATATATATTTTACCTCTACATTAGATTTATTGTTCTGGATAATGTGTTGCAAGGCAATAGCCTATGCTAGGTTATCTAACCTTTTAGCTTGCTAACTTGAGAGGCACATAGCTAATGACAAGCAGGTTGGAGGATTGAAGAGAATTTATTATTGATTTGTTTTACAGATCAGTTAAAATAAACTTACCATGTTCAGCAAAATACGCTAGAGTATTGTTCCCTGCTTCCTCTGTGCTGAATGCGAAACTGAAACTTAAGTGAACGGCAATGACTTGAACGGAGTCTTCATGCGCCCTCTGCTGGACACATTGTACAATTACGACTGGTCCCAGCATTTTAGCGCTGAAAATTAGAAGTCGTCCTTATTTATATTGGCGCATAATGGGATGATGATCCTGGAAGGTGTGCAATAATTTTGGTGTTCTCTGTTGTTTTTTAAACTGTTGTGTATGTAGTCTTTGTTTTTAGCTGTTTATATGAATTTTATTTGTATTTACTGTATCTTTGGGCAGCTGCTACTATACACACCCCTGAGTCTATGACAAATTTCTCCTAGGGGTCAAAAAAGTATATTCTTTCTGTTCTATTATCCCCAATACCTATAGGTCCTCAAACGTATCAGCCTAAATTATCGGTCCTACCGATATATTGGTCTGGCTCTAGTAATAAGGGTGCTTTGTGCATCCTCGTTTCACATTAGATGAATGTAAAATACTCGTTAGAGCTGCAGGAGCTTGTAGGGTCACAGAAACTCTGAACTAAACAAGTCCACTGCACTTGCCTTGTTAACACTGTGGTCTTGTGCTGACAGCTGGGAATCCACGCTATGTTGTTCTGTTCTAAACGAGACGTTGAGATGTCTGTCGTGAGCCCGGGAACACTTCAGTAAGAGGAGTAAGGTTGAACTTGAGGAACGGAGGATGTGCTCTTCTGACCTTCTGTCATCAGGCTAAACTGATCGTAGCTGCATCTAATTTATAGATCTTTTTCTCCTGTTATCAACGTAACATTATCTAAATAAGGTGTGGTTGTTGGTTCTGTGAAGTCGATGCCAGATGGGTTTACTCTGTTAAATGCAAATGTAACTAGAGGAATGGCATTTCCAGCAAAAAATGCAACGTGAATTTTTTTTTTTTTTTTTTTTTTTTTTTTTTGCTGAAAGCTGCTGAAGTTGAAACCAGACTGAAAAGGTTTCATTGCAGAACTGTTAGTGTGTGTTGAATTTGAACAGCTGCTATTTGCTGAAGGCAGGAAAGTACCATAGTGGAAAAATAGCAGAAATGAGTAGAACAAGCTGTTCCTGAAAGAAGAAGAAGAAGAAAGTTCCTGGAGAAACTTTGATGGGGATTGCCACGTGGTGACCATTTAAAAATTTTAATTTGACAGTACTATTTTTTTTTTTTTTCCATTTTCCCTTTATTTATACTATGTGTTGGGGTTCACTCTCAGTACCAATAATCCAAATTTCAGCTCAATATGACATAAAATCGATAAGTTATAGTCTTTTTTTAAATTTTTATATATATATATATATATATTTTTTTAGCTATATTGGGCATTTTTGAGTTTTGATTTGGATTCGGTATGCGACGGGAGCATTCTCAAATATAGCCACACCTAATTTCATCTCTGTGTAAAAATAGCTGAGTTAAAGCCATTTAAATGTAGCTTTGGTGGCCATCTTGGATTTTTTTTTTTTTTGGGCTTCAGTATTTAATGGGCATTGCTCTCCACTACCACCACACCAAATTTCAGCTTTATATCTCTAAAATGACTGATTTTATATAGTTTTTTCCTTTTTAGCTCAGGTAGCCATCTTGGATTTTTGATTTGCAGTCATTCTTGGGGGTTCGAATCCACCAGCAGTCACATACTGAAGTGTCACTGAGAAAGACACTGAACCCCTCAATGCCTCTGATGTGTGTCCCATCAGTGTATGAATGTGATCTAAAGCTCTGATTAGTCTCTTTAGAATGATTTGTTCAATTAGCTTTGTAGAGATCTAGTAGAGTGCTGTACGAATGGGTAAATGAGGACACAGATTGTTGTAAAGTACTTTGAGTATCTTGAAATAAGATGGAAAGGCTCAAAAAGCATTCAATACAAAAACAACTGGACTTTATTTGTAACAGAAGACATTTCACTGCTCATCCTCGGATGAGGATGAGCAGTGAAATGGATTTTATTTTACAAATAAAATCCAGTTGTTTTTGTATTGAATGCTTTTTGAATTCATCATGTCCTGGATGACTGAGAATCTTCACCAGCATAAGATAGAAAGGCACTATACAAGTACAGTCCATTTACTATTTATCATTCTATTACAGATCGTTCTCAGCTACCAATATACCAAATTTCAGCTGAACAGCTCTAAAAACAGCTCAGTTATCGTATTTTTTTCCCTTTTAGCTAAGGCAGCACAAGGTTAACTTAGCAGAAAAATACCTAAAAATAAAATAAAATAAAGTAGCTGAAAAGGGGAGAGAAAAGCTGAATTTTGTCAGAAAGGATCTGAAGGTGAAACTAGCACAAAGAAGGTGAAAAAGCTGAACAAAGGCTGAATCGAGCAGTAACATGTTGCACAGAGTTTGAAGGATGTGAAGAAGCTCTGTTCTTTTTTAATATCAAGTCAGAGCAGAAATATCCTGAAGGAGCTGAACGTTTTGATGCATGAATTGTTGAAGTGGAACAAAAATGGAAGAGCACGTTGGATGCTGAAAAACATCTGGAAGGAGAATGAATCTGTTTTCTAAACATTTACACAATGAAGGCACACACCTTTTATTGCTATTTGCCTGTTTGTTTTCCCAATTTCCATCATGAATTTTTTTGGATTCACTCCTAGTACTCCTGCAGTTTTGGATAAAAACAATAAATAAATAAAAAAATCTAAACAAGTGTCTCAACAGGGAATAGTGTTTTGACTGTTGGGAGCGGTGCAGAACACTGTACAAATTAAAAAATATCATTTTACATGCACAGCATGGGGTTTGGCATCATGAGTGAGAGAAGCCGGCCATGTTTGAAGACGCTCTGGCAGCTCACACTGGTTTAACAGTTTTATCCAGTCACTGATATTGGGGAGCGGTGGTGCAGAGGTTAGAGAAGGTAGACCTGGTATCGGAATGTCACTGGTTCAACTCCCTGACAACATCAAAATGTGGGTGAGAAAGATGAAACTGTAAATCTGTAAAGTGCCCTGAGACAACTTTGTTGTGATTTGGCGCTATATAAATAAACTGAATTGAATTGAAACGCCCACACCTCCTCCACCCTTATTTGCCCCCTCTGGGCCCTTGAGCAAGGCCCTTAACCCCCACCACCTGCTCCCCCGGGTGCCCTAGATAGCAGCTCTCTGCTCCACACAGGGCTGTGGTAGCTCGGTGTCTGTGGTTGTGTCAGGAAGGACATCCAGCGTAAAAATAACTGGCATGTCTTGGTGTGAGTACGTTCACTGTGGTGACCCCTGAAGAAGGGAGCAGCCGAAAGAAGAAGAAGAAAATCCAATCACTGATTATTAGATTAGATTATTATTAATCACCTTTACTGTAAGTTGATCAACTGTGTGTTAGGCAGTAGCTGATGGACTTCCTTTCAACTTTCAAGTGTCTAGTTTTAAAGTTTATTTTGGCTTGTTTTTTATTCATGGGATATCTTTGTTACTTTAGCAGCTAAAACTGTAATTACCCAGAAACTGACTGCTCAAGATTCAAAACAAAAAACCGTAAAAGACCTGAAGAAGCTGGAGTGGAGGTGGATTATAGGTGAACTTTCTCCACAAGTTACCTGACATGTTCACGCTCATGGCAGCTTTTCAGCAGGATGTTAGGAAACTAGTCAGTGGTTAAATATTGATTCATTTATCCAGCCAACTGTTAACTAAACAGTCCTCTGCTAACAGCGTCACTAGTGGAAACAATACTAAAATAATTGAACAGTTGGCTAAATGTGCACAGCAGTGAAGTGTAACAAGTGCAAGCAACACGTTTGTTGAAACAGATAATTTTATATTGACTTTAATAGATTTCTCATGGTCACATAGCTTTATTTGTGCAGCTAGAGGAAACTACAGCAAAGTCTGGTGTTCATCTCCTTTCGACCTGAGCTGAGTATTTGTATACTGCCTTTGCACATATGTAAATGTAGCTGGGGAGTTTTTAGTTTGAGATGTGCTGGAAAGCTGCAAGACGCTCTTTCACCGTCCCCCATCACCACGGCTGGAGGTCAGTCTTTTGTTCGGCTGCCATTGGCACATGTAACCTCCTGGCTCGCTGAAGGTCGCAGCAGATGCAGGTGCCAGTCAGCGCTGGCAGCTCCACCTCACCTGCTATTTAAAGGACTGTTTAAAAGGCACCTTAGGGAGTCTTTCTGGGTGCAACGTGTCACCTGGTGCGAGCTCATTTTACTGTAAAATGTCCGACTCTTGAATTGTTTGACACGTTGGCAAATACAGAGAGGATGGTTGGACTGAACTCAAGGAGGATGTTGATGTAGACGGACGAAGGATGTCCACGTTTGATCAAAGCAGGATTAGAGCGTGACACTTGGGACAGGTCCAGCTTTTAGCAGGATCGTAAAAAGGACAGCGGCTGTCTTTGTATGGGATCTGAAGCAACTCCATCCAAAAAACTGTTTATCTTTGAAAGGAAAGACAGAACAGGAAGTCTACAAAAGTGGATTTGTGAGCTTTTTAGCTCCCATGGAAAAAATCTTTGTTGTTTAAAAAAAACTCATTGATCAGTTTAGTCTTTCATTTTGCTCCATTTATTTCTTTTTGTTGTGCAGCATTTAAAACAGTTCTGTTTCTTAGTTTAAAGTGTGTGTTGGTTGTTGAAATGCTCCGGAGTCGAGGTGCTGGATGCAGCTCGTCCACTTTAGCAAACACAAAATAAGCTACAACTCAGTCAGTTTTACAGATGGTGACCTGAAACCTGACGTGGTAGTAGTGGAGGGTCACCTCTAACACATACTCTGAGCACAGACACATCACACAGTCATTGTTTAAAACGTTGGCATGCAAGGTGTGATTTGCAGTCCTTCTAAGAAAATGTAATTTTAATGTTAGGTTGTGGTGTCTATATGTAGCTTTACACACAGAACTGTGCCATGACCTGAGCCTCTTCTGCAGCTTCCTTCTGCTTTATGTACCATCAGGAGGCTGAATTGGGTCATAGCAATTCCAGTGCACCCAAATCTGCCTTTCCTTTGAGACGGGCCTTTTATGGCTCACAAGTCCTTCATTTGCTCTTTTTCCTGACAGTGGCTGCTTTGCTGCGGCGTGGCACAACGGCCATCTTGTAACGAGCTGCGCTTCATCATTTGAGTTTACCGTCATGTTGAGATGTCTGTTTCTCTGTAACTCATCTGTTTAACCTTCATTTCACCAGCAGACACGCATATTTACAGAAACAGACGATTTACATCGTGTGAACGTTCTATTTTTTTGCGAATCATTTCATATTACAAAGACTCATTACACACAGTGAAATATTTCAAACCTTTCTTGTAATGTTGATGATTGTCTTTATAAATAATGACAAACCAAACATCAGTGTCAGAAAATGAGAATCTTCCACAGCCAGATGTTGGTACCTTTGTCAGTGTGGACAGGAGACGAGTCCTGCTGGAAGATGAAACCAGCATCTCCACAAAGCTCGTCAGCAGCACGAAGCAAGAAGTCTCTAAACTGTCCTGCTAGATGCTGCGTGGACTTCAGAGAACAGTGGACCAGAACCAGCAGAGGACATGGACCCAAACCATCAGTGACTGTGGAAACTTCTCTCTGGACTTCAACAACATGGATTCTGGACCTCTCTTCTCTTCCTCCAGACTCTGGGACCTTGATTTATAAATGACATGAACATTTACTTTAATCTGAAAAGAGGACATTGGACACTGAGAGACAGTCCAGTTCTTTTTCTCCTCAGCAGGTAAGACACTTCTGATGTCTCTGGTTCAGAAGTGGCTGGACTGGAGACATTTGTAGCTCATGTCCAGGAGTTAATCAGCTGATCGGGGGGAGACTCCAGGAGTTTACAACACTGAACCTCTTCTCAATATTCTCATTTTCTGAGACACTCAATTTTGTTTTTTCATTATCTGTAAATTATAATCATCAAAATTACAAGAAATAAAGGATTAAAATATTTCACTCTGTAATGAATCTAATATGAGCTTCACTTTCTGAAATGATTAAAAAAATAAACATGCATGTTAGGCTGACTGGTAACTAAATTGTCTCTGGGTGTGAGTGAGAGAGTGAATGGTTGTTTGTCTCTATGTGTCCCTGTGATGGACTGTAGACCTGTCCAGGGTGTCCCCTGCGTCTCGCACAGTGATGGCTGGACATGGACACCAGTGACCCCCATGACCTGAAAAGGAAGAAGCGGCTTAAAGATAATGGATAGATGGATGGATGGATGGATGGATGGATGGATGGATGGAATTCTAATTGTGATCTACACCTGTATGTGTGGACTTCTTGATAACCAGACATCAGTGTCTGTGGGATGTAAAAGACCATTTCTTGAACAACATCAAGCATAATGTGATTGGTTCAGCATGGACAGCCCCTCTCTCTCTCTCTCTCACACACACACACACACACACACACACACACACACACACACACACAC